CGCCTCCATAACCAAACAAAGAAACTCTAAACCAAGATTTCAATCACATTGAACACAGCTTTGCACACTCACCGCTTTCTGTGTTCAATGTGATTGAAATCTTGGTTTAGAGTTTCTTTGTTTGGTTATGGAGGCGTCTGGCCAAGTAGATTGCTGTCAACTTGACCTTTCCAGGCTCTGAGGAAGGCGAAATCCGCCGAAACGTCAGCTCATTTGTGAATAAAGAATAATAACACCTCGCGTTTGCTCAACAAAAATACGAAGAGTATTGTATTGTGTTTTTATGGAAGTAAATGTATGCTGTTTAAAAACCTCGCGATTGCTGAGCAAGAAAACGACACAGCAAGTAGATTTATGTTCATACTGGAGCTCACCACATGTGACTGGTCGAAACATAATTGCTGAGGCAATGGTAATTTTTGAAAGCGGGAAGCGCAGTGGTAATGGTCCCGATCCTCAGCCGGAATTCCCAACCTATCCAGCCACTGGCACGACTCCGTTTTAGGCCCACCAAGCCTTCCATTCCTCCACTCCACCCTCAAAAACTTGCTGCCATACTTGTCTGGGACATGTTGACCCTTTCTAGTCCACGACTAGGTGGGCCCAGATCGTCGTTGTATGGTTATCTCAGGATTCCAGGTATACTAGACTCACCCAGCATTCAATAACATTCTTGATAAAAAAAAATTTTACAGCAAAACCCACAAGCAAAAAAAAAGTTTGAAGACGTTCCTGAATAGTGGATACGAGGAAACGAATCTAATGCAAGGTGTACTGAGATTCGTAAAGTGTGATAGACGTGATGTCGGGTCATCTAATGAAAAAGTAAAGGAATGTTATTTTCTTGTTAGCGAAAAAAATCTATCATACATATATATATACATATATATATATATAGAGAAATTAGCCATAAAAGAAAACTCTTGTCCCTATAAATTTGCTGCTTTGATCTGTTTCCAACCACTAGACGGTGATTGCATGAACTCGGGCATAGTTTATCTGATCTCCTGTAAGGCGTGCGGAGGCGAATACATTGGCGAAACGGGCAGACCCCTCTGTGTCCGGATAAAAAAACACCTAGCCGGCAAACGTCTACCAAATACCCCACTAGGCACGCATGGGACCCAGAGACATAACGGGTAGGACTTTGAAATATGTGTCACGATCCTCGCACACGAATCAGGAACACAATCGCGCAAAACTCTCGAGGCATTCTGGATTAATTCCAGAAATCCGAAAATAAACCACACAGAAGAATGCCTCATTATCACGCGTGATATAAGGCAGTATATAAGCCTGTTATTCTGATGAAAGGAGCACATCACGCTTCCATGTGAATTCTGTGCGGTTGGTCTTCACGCGACGTACTCAGTGGAAGCCTCACAGAAAGCGGTGAGTATGCAAAGCTTTGTTCAATGTAATTGAAATCTTGGTTCAGCGTTTTCTCTGTTTGGTTATGGAGGTGTTTGGCCGAACAGATTGCTGTCAACTTGACCTTTCCAGGCTCTGAGGAAGGCGAAATCCGCCGAAACGTCAGCTTATTCGCGAATAAAAAATAAAAATAACACCTCGCGTTTGCTCAACAAAAATACGAAGAATTACTAGGCTTTCACTTCTCTTCTATACTGAATCTTTGGTTTAGAACAAAGCTCTCTACTGTATTATAAATTATATTTGTCATATTGTTGCCTTTGAAGAAATGCACGATGTATACTTTGTTTCGGAAGCTCCTTTTTTGTAGATGGCAGGGAGAATGTCGTTTCTGTTACATTAAAAGTATACCTGTCGTCGTGGTCCTATTATTTCCGAATACAAAGTTGTAACGGCAATATTCATTATGGACATTCCAGTGCCAAAGAATAGAACGTAAAACGTGTAGTAAATCTGAAGTAAAAAAAAAGGTTAGAGATATAACGAAATGTAATATTAGAATCTTAACTCTTTTATTTACTGCCTTTTTCTTGTATTGTAAGGTGTATGCAGTGGGGAACGAACACGCCCTGTTGTCCTTACCGGGGAGCAGCGCACTTCACCGCTACACCATCCGGGTCCTTCGCTCTGCATGTATCTCAGCTAGTTCTATCGATCTTTTTGCCATCAGCAATCACCCGCGCGTGTTCGTTCCCCACTGCATACACCTGTGGTCCGGAGTTTTGCAAATATCTCAGCATTTCATACGAGTTATAATTCGAAACATACCCTGCCATTAAGAAGAAAAAGGCAGTAAATAAAAGAGTTAAGATTGTGATTATAACGAGGCCTCAGCTTAACTGGGTTCAATGCCGATATTGGCTCCCCAGATCAATCCCGTTGACGGGTGATTGCTGATGGTAAAAAAGATCGATACAACTAGCTGAGATACATGCAGAGCGAAGGACCCGGATGGTGTAGTGGTGAAGTGCGCTGCTCCCCGGTAATGACAACAGCGCGTGTTCGTTCCCCACTGCATACACCTGTGGTCCGGAGTTTTGCAAATATCTCAGCACTTCATACGTGTAATATTAGATCCCAGGATCGACTTTCTCTTAACCTCGGCATTGGAATATGAATGTGTCGCTTTCTTGTTCAGCAATCGCGAGGTTTTTAAACAGCATACATTTACTTCCATAAAAACACAATACAATACAACGATAGCTGACGTTTCGGCAGTATCGCCTTCTTCAGAGCCGCTTTTTCGTGACTTCCAATGAAGAAGTTTAGAACAGCTGATTATAGTCGCATGTGGTTGACGACTCATTAGATAATATTACTTAAATATGTAATATTAGAGTAACGTCAGACTCACAAAGAGACTTTTTTTATACAGAGTCAGTTTTCAACTGATAATAAAAAGGGAAGGATTCGACTTCTTATATTGTCCTCGAGGGGTCAGTCGATTAATCACAAGACTGCAGGAGCTAGCGTTGCCTTCGACGAATTCGTGCTGTAGTTCCCTCCAGTCAGAAACGCCAGTTCGTGCTTTAGTGTGACCACTTAAGACGCAGTCCCGTTGTTATATCGGATTTCTAACGAAAATTAGGCTCGACCAACACCCAAGAAAAATAACAAAGCTACAAGCTGCAGCCGATCATACGAGCTCGATCATCTGGATGGATGACAGCTCACACGATATGTCAACACCGATCATTCCTGTACCTATGTAATAAAAATGAAACGACACTTACCCATGGAGAAACCATAGTCAGGTCGTCGCACCAGTCAAATCGCTCCGTGGAACAACCCCAATCAGACCCTGAAACCATTTGTATCTACTTAACCTTTTCCTACAAAATCCTGCACGATCTGCCATTTTTATTTCTTTGATTATTTCGTAGATACCTCGATAAAAGATGTCATGTAGGAAGACAACGTCGGAATCTGTGTCAAGAGGTGGGAAATGTTGGAAAAAATTAAGATGTGCTTGCTCGTGATAACGTCACATCTGGTCCAACTAAAGAAACGGTGGATTTTGACTACACCGATAGATGAACTCGATCCCCCTTGACATCTTGAGGAGATGGTTTTTCTGTACTTATGATGTTCAGTTCCATTTTAACACAAACTTGAAGGAATTATCATAACCAATTATATAAGACCCATGGACCTCCTCATATGAGGGATCCCGAGCCAGTTAATCGCGGACCAAAAGTGACCTTTGCTTCCCTAAGACGTAGGTGGATCCAGGAAATGGACTCCATGTTTCTGCTGCGCTAATTTGGCACATACTTTCTTTATTTGCCAGACGTATTCATGCATGCGTGCGTGGGTGCGTTCTTGTTTATGCGGATTGTATTCTACGAGTCAAATCGGCCAAAAGCCTACCATCAAATGACAGGGTAGTACATGGGAGGCGGTTAGCCGTCGCCTCCAAGAAATAGGCTCCATGCCCACTCTGGGAGAGCTTGGAAAGCTACCTGTGAGTATACCCAGCCTCGCGTTCATAGCCCAGCAAACTATACGTCGGTATCAAAATACTAAACACAGTAAAAAAACGGGCTTCATTCTCCTGACCCCGAAAGGTCCTCCAATTCGGCAGAGTTGGGTAGGACGAGTACGGAGAGGCCGTTAAAATCTCAGGGCCAATGGAAGCTGACTGGATTACAAAGAACTATGGTGGCGATCTGTACCCACAACGCACGTACACTTGCATCCGAGTCCTCGATAGAAGACTTACTCATGCAAGCAAGAAGGATAAGGTACGACGTCATCGGCCTGGCCAAGACGAGACGATAGCACCCATTCAACGCCGTCTATGACACCGAGAAGAACTGTTCCTCGGAACATGCGACAGTAGAGAATTCGGCTGCGTCGGCATTCTCCTCAACACGACATGAACATCGATCCATTCGAACAACTTACAACGCGAATCGGACGTTAACGATTAAACAGACGAGGTGTAGTAACTATTCCTTAAATAGTTCCTATTCTCTACAATATCACATGTATCCCATACTATTTACTTATAACTACCTATCCATTCATAATGTATAAGTTTTAATACCGCTTCGACATGTAGTTTCGATAAAACCCCCTGGCGTGCATACCGTCTCATTTGATGTACTTCTCCGCAAATACCGTGTCATGACATGGGTCAGCACTGTCTCTAAGTCTCTCTGTGAAGCCCCACGTTATTCGATCTCATTTACATGACCTTTCGATAAGTCTTTGCGTAGCTTTTCGGATAACCTTTATCCGCGAGCTATTCAAAGCTCCACCCACTACAGAAGTAATACAGGCGGCCCATAGGCATTCGTCTTCAAATGTTCGCAGCGTTCGTTCGGTCTTCATCCAGTCCCTCGGTTCCTCAGCGCTCCAGCTCTAGTGTCCGCCTACTTTACTTCATTTGCATCACTTGTTCTCATCTTATTCTCGCTCGAATATATCCGGTTAACCACACTTCGTCACATATTACATAATACTGTTGTACTGTTGTTATTGCTATAAACGGTTATAAACCAAACTCGAGGTTGTCCACGGCAGTTACGAAAAAAAGTCCCGCGTGGAGAATTCATAGAAAGTCGAGCATTCCACGCACAGTTGGCGGACAAAAGACAAATCCGACCAACTCTCTAATCCAGTTGCCAACCAACACACGTGGATCAATTACGGCTTTGACAATCATCGTCGTTTACGCGCCGACATCAAACTATGACGAAGAAGAGGTCGAAGCGTTCTATATGGACTAGGAAAAGTTCTACAGAGAAGGCCGTACATTCTTCAAGGTCATCATTGGAGATTTCAACGCTAAGATTGAACCAACAAGAACGTCTGAAGAACGTCACATTGCGACCCACGGATTAGAATGGAACGAACAGGGTGAGCGGCTGTCTGAGTTTATCATGACGACCAAGACCATCCATGGTAACTCGCAATTCCAAAAGCCCCACCCTAAACGCTGGACGTGGGAGTCTTCCAATGGAGAGTACCATAACGAAATAGACCACATCGTAGCAAATAGAAAGTTTTGCCTAACCGATGTCGCTGTTGCCCCAAAATTCTACCTGGGATCCGTCCACAGGCTCCTTCGTGCAAGAATCTATTTGTCGCGGAAATGAGGAAAAGCCGCTAAACTCAAAAACCGAAGCCGCAAAAGCACCGTAAACTGGGACTTATTCGATTCATTAGTCGGCCCATTCAACTTCTTCACGTCAGCGCTATGAAAGCTGGCAGTTCAAACGTCACCAAGAGACGTTTGTTTCCAGAAACGCTCAAGATGGTACATCAGCGTGAAATGGCACGAACCGCAGGCAACCGCGAAGTAACGTCCGAACTTGTAAAACAAAGCAGGCAGGCGATAAAAGGAGATCCTGAAAAGAGAAAAGCAGCAACAATGGTCGAAGCTGCAAAGGTTGGGAAAAGCATTCGCAAAGCCCACCGAAGCATCGCCAATTACAAACCCATCTTATGAAATAAAGAAGGATGGATATGTTGTACCACCGGTTCTCCCTTCCGAAATCCGACATGCCGTTTCGTCGGTGAAAAATCGAACAGCACTAGGTCCGGAGAGGATAAGACCAGAACACCTGAAGAACCTTCCACTAGTCCTCGTAAACACACTGGCTCGGCTCCTCACACGTTACCTGTCTAAATGCAATGTCCCTACTCAGAGAAAGACCAGCAAGACCGTGTTATTGTTCAAGAAGGGTGACCTACACGATATCGGAAACTATTGCCCAATCTGATTACTGTCTGTCGTCTACGAACTTTTCACTCGAGTCGTCCTAAACGGGATTGACAGAACACTAAACAAGGGACAGCCATATGAGCAGGCAGGGTTTCGAAGAGGATTTAGTACGATGGATCACATCCACACGATAACAAGGCTCATTCAAGTATCGCAGGAGTGCAAAAGACAGCTCTGTCTCACTTTCACTGATTAAGAGAAGGTATTTGATTCAACTGACACAAAGGCAGTCATGGAAGCCCTTGATAGCCAAGAAGTCCGTACTCAGTACTTAAAGATTCTTCGTGAGCTGTACAAAATTTTCACAACCAAGGTATCACCATTCTACAACGATATTAACGTTGACATCAAAAGAGGAGTTAGGCAATGCGATACAACCTCGCCAAAATTATTTACCGCCACCCTCCAGAACGTCATGTGAACATTGGAATGGGATAATATGGAGTGAAAGTCGACGGTCGCCAGTTACACCATCTTCACTTTGCTGATGAAATCGTTCTTATAACACCAAACATTAGCCAGGCGGAACGTACGCTTGACGACTTTGATAAAGCCTGTGGAAAGATTGGTCTTCGACTAAATATGACAAAAACGATGTTCATGGAGAATGGATTGGTTTCGTACACCCCACTCACGCTCAACGGAACGAATATTTCCGAATGCTCCAGTTATGTATGTGTAGATCGAGAAATCTACATGTTGAACGACTTAGCTCCAGAGTTGAGCAAGAAAACGAGCGGGTTGGAGACCTTTCAAGGTACATCCTGCGCTAACGTATGCTTCAGAAACCTGGTCGCTGCGTAAGCAGGATAAAAGTTCACTCAGCGTTATCGAACGCACAAACGAAAGACAATACTAGGAGTATCCTGTGGAAATCGCCTTTTCTAAGTTCATTGATTTGTAGAAGTTGAGGTATTTAAGTTTGGTTTGGCGCCATACAGTCGAAGATAAGGTGGGTCGGTCACGTAATGCGTATGAATGAGAACCGATGGACAAAAGCCGTTAGTTACTGGATTCATCGGGATGTCAACCGTATACTTCAGGAAGACCATCGATCCGATGGTCAGAGTTCTTCACGAAGAGTCTAGAAGAAAGATATGATGCTCGATGAGTCCCCAGAGCGAGTAGAACCTACTGAGCTACTCTTGCACGCGACAGGGAAAAATGAAAGATTTACTGGCACCCGCTCGAGTCACTCGACGATCAACGAGACTGTAGGCGATGTAGGTGAATTATATAAAACTAGCCTGCAACAAAGCCAAGAAAGTGAGTTGGTTAGGTAGGTGGAGGTTCGAACACAAATTTAGAAAAACGAATCGTGCTCCATTGCGTTCCAACTCCCTTGAGTACACAGCTTTTTCCAACTAAGAAGAGTTATGCAAACCGTCTTTCATTAAACCTCGGTATAAATGGTCGTTGCACTATGTTTCATTCAAAAGCTTATGAATGAAACAGGGAACATTGAGAAAAGTTTGCCACTGTTGTTCAATGCGCTGCTCAGATGAGGGCAAATGGTTCTTTAACTGACTTTATGCCTAAACATTTGAAAAAAAAGACGGATTAACGACTCATACTTTACTTAGTTAGATACTTGCTTTATTCGCCGTAATATGACGTGGAAGACACACCACTTCATTCACTAGCTTTTTTTCTCTTCTAGCTGGCTAATGATGGGATCAGTGATAGTTTAGCGTGTGCGGAGCTCTGGCTGTGGGTCGAGCTTTCGCCACCTCTTCTCACTAGTATGACGCATGGTGGTTGAGCGTGGTTCTTCTTGGAATCCTAAGAGAACCGCGCTAGGACATTTTCAGGTCTTCACCAATGTAAATAGCTAACTTTCGTAGACAAGAAGAAGACATTGTGTCGTTGCTATAAGGATTCTTCAAGAATGGTAATTCTCGCATCGATATCCCACGAAAACAAGAGCCTTTACGAGCATTAAATGGCATAGCTACCACTGCGCTTCTCACGTTCCATTATGCTAAACTAGTGTTCAGAAAGCAGAAAACTACCGTCTTTCTATAAAGCTGAATCCAGTTTTTCAACATTGCGACTCTTCATTTTCACAAAATAAAAAGATAAAAAAGGATAAAGCACTCGGCGTTGATCAATCCCTGAGGAACGCTCCATGCATTCGACTTCATTAAGTATCGTTGGAGCTACTTGAATTCATATCTGGCCTTTACAATGACTCGCGGTGGCCCACCGATGTATGGAGCCAGTTCGTGGGCAACGGCGTAGGTATCCATTCCACGTGTGTGTCGCAGTGGCGCCCCCAACCACTGCGCCACACACATTTCTTGCACAGATCAAGCTAGGATTATCTTTTAGCGTCCAATAAACAAGGATATCTATAAAAAAAATAAAACAAGAAATAAATATAACGCAAGAAACCGGTATCAAAGCAAAAAATGTTTGTATCTCACCGTTCACAGAAAGTTCAACCTTATTAGGTAGAAATGGCCACGAATATGTGAACAGAAACAAGCTTGCAAGGAGCAATAACGAGAGCATTGAGCATATTCGAGGTGCCATCCTAAAATATAAAAAGAGAGAGAGGAAGAAATATAAAATCGAATAAAAAAGAAAACAATGTAAATTTATTTTATCATAAATGATTCACTTACAATTTGGAGAGATCGAAAAAAATGAAGACAAAATACAATATGACACCGACAAAACCGGCTGCGAAATGAGCAGAAGAGTTATAAGTGATAGCTTCTTCTTTGTTGAACGAAAACATCAACATTGAAAACGGTGACCCGACACTAAAAACACCCAGAATTTTAAAGAATCATAAATGTATACGCCGTCGATTAAATTTCTTTAGTAAGACATATTTCGTTCGGACCATTTTACCTTCACTCCTTTTTGGTCGTTTTTCAAGTAAAAAGAACAAATTGGACTTCAAATTCGGGTAAACCACATTTTCTTTTCATTTCCAAATATTTGCTTGGTCGAATTAATTTTCAACAATGAGTAGGTGTTTCACTAAAATCACACCTGTGCCTGCCACAACAACCTACAGTAAGCCTGCACTTGCAATATTCTAACGATTCTTTTGTTTCGAGATAGTCATTAAAGACTATGCACATATAAATATATTGTGTATATATATATATATACATAGGCCCAGAATTTTTTCCCTAGTTACTAATAATGCATAATTTTTCACCAATTTTCCTTCGATGGGAGATTTCCTGAAGACCTGTTCTGTCTTTCTATGAGTGATCAGAGTGATAAATAGAAGTTTTGTATTACATTCACATTATTACTAAGCATTATCCTGGTTCATCGAACTGCGAACCTTCTATCAAAACACATTATATTCAGTGAAAGAGGCACGTTTCCGCATTTGTCCTTAAATTTTTTAAAACCTGGTGCCATAGAACATGAGAAAGTTTTATCTTCTTTGCTGTTAGAAGAGGACTCTTATAAAATTTTCCAGAACTGACTCAGCGATGATATTAAGGCAAAGCTTCGAAGCTTTCCACGGTGACTTCCCTCCTTAATTTGCTTACAGTAGTGAGAGCACTTCAATTTTTTGTAGGAAGAAAAAAAAGGAAGAAAACAGATTTAGCGACGCTAACGTTTGAATTGAGGTTGCCGCAAATATCTGAACGAATCGTGTTGCAACACAAATCAGAACGGCCAAAACGCATGGTGATGGCAATTCACTCTGTTCCTGAAAGCAATAAAACTCGCCAGACCAGCTTTCTATTAACATTAAATAGTTGAAAAAGCCAGTTTTTCCTTCTTGAGTAGATACGAACTTGTTTACAACGAGATTTATTCATTACTGAGTGACACTTCGGCTATTTTCTCTTCTTCAGAATCTGGTAAGGTTAGATTGACATGCAATCTACTCATCCAGATACTTCCACAACGTCAGTAGATAAAACCTTACGGAAATTTTTCATTCGCACAATAACAGGTTCTTCTAAACACAAGCCGTTCTTTTCTTCACAATATTGTTGGAAACCAGACGCACAGAGCCCTATCTGAGCGGGGAATGAGCACGGCTAAAGTCAAAGAATCAGTCAGAGGTAAAAGCGCGAAATCACGGGTGATCATGTGACACCGCCCCTTGCGTTTCAATTATCGATCTTTGGAACTAATCCAATACTCCGAACAACAGGTGTCTGCGGTGGGGAACGAACGAGCTGTTACCCTTTCTGGAAGCTAACGCGTTCACCACCATGGTGGCGATTGATCTGAGGAGTCCAAGTCGGCAACGAGCCCAGTTAATCTGAGGCTGTAGTTGATATCACAGTGTCAACTTTTTATTTGCTGCCTAATACAACTTTTTATGGCAGGATATTATGCGAAATACAACCACAATGATGCTAAGATATTTGTAAAACTTCGGATCGATCGCATGTGTCTGCGGTGGGGAACGAACGCACTACTACCATTTCGGGAGCCAACCCGTTAACCACCACACCATGCAGGTCCTTCGTTTCGCTTGTCTATCAACTAGTTCTATCGATGAGTGCCATAAGCAATCACTCGTCATCGGGGTTGATCTGGGAAGCCCAAGTCGGAGTTGAACCCAGTTAAGCTCAGGCTATAGTTGTAATCACAATGTTAACTTTTTGTTTGCTGCCTATTTTTCTTCTCTAATCCAAAACACTTCGAGTTTTATGCGCTGATGTTTTGGACTGCTATGCGATAATAGTGACGTTTGCTTCAAAATCACCTCTCCTATGCCTTCGTGTCTTCCACATGCCTAGTCGGGTTTTTGACTATAAGTTTCTCAATTAGGCACTGCTTCATATGGAAGAAGCATTTCGGCATCTGGAAGTTCAAGTTAGAGTAGACCAGTGGAAGGAACTACTGCCATCTTCTTAACGAAACAATAAATGGTATGGTATGCGAAAAGCGAAACCAAAATTTCAAGACACCGATAGAACAACGTATTTCCAGCGTTTGAAATAGCTCTCCAATATGGTTCCTTTTGATTCACAGAATTCTTTGCGACTCACGAAAATGAGCCATTGATGTCTCACTTCTTCCACTCGTTTCGTTGCTTTGTGTGCGCAATCAGTGAAGTTCCTTAGATTTGTTCGTGATTTTGGCTGTTGCTTGAGCATCTTCGGTCCTATTTATGAATGCGCTTGAATGTCTATTAAGTCGATTCTCCTTGGAATCCAGAAATAACCCACTAGGTTCCCAGATCTTCATGACAGAGAACGTCGTTGGTTGGATAGGAAGCAACTTTTCTCAGATAGGGAAGATAACAAATTGCCGACCACGGAGGGGTCGAAGCTTTTGCCAGCCTGGAGTGCGTTTGACGTGGAGAGTACGGTGCGCATTGCGCATCATCTCTAACTACTGGGTTTCTAGAATCATCAGTCATTAATACTGCAATTTATGTAAGCAAATGATTCACTATTTAAAAGATTTTAGTTATTCCATTAAAGGAAAAATACGCATGAAGAAAATAAAAATTTGGACGAACATGAAAAGCCAACGAATCAGCAGCAATTAATATCCATATAAACCAAACACTAACCCTCGAAGTAGCAGTATTGAGAACGTCGTAACGCTCTTCAAAAACGAAAATAATCAGGAGAAAACCGAGAACGTTCAACAGAAACGAGAACAGAGCAGACGAATTGTAGATGTTAAGCCGATAGAAGGGTAACACGTATATTCCATCAGGCCCCAGTGGTGTGAATAAAAGTTGAAACGCTAAATAACTCATTTACAGACCTAATATTGAAAAATAAAAATGTCATTTATTAAGAAAAAGGATGGCCCATCAATAAGTAAAAAAGGAGCCGTGGAAATAATATAAAGTTCAGAAGATGAATTGCAATATTTTGAGAAGTAGTACACATATATGAAAACATTGTAGGAAAATAAGAGAAACAAAACAAGGAGATACAGCTATTAGAGTGTTTCAAATATTTTATCTCAATCAAAAACGAATCTCTTCCATGTCATGAATCTCAAGTCAGTTGAGCCGAGGCTACATCATACGTCCGAAAAAGTTTTATGGCCCATCCGGCTCATGAGGCTCTTTGCTTAATGCAAACACGATCTCTTCCCGTGTGCTTATTCATATTAACTGAATGCTGCATTTTAATCAGGTGGAGGCGCGGCATACGACCCATGAAAACAGAACCACATCGACGTAGCTCTGCATGAACATGACGGGGTATGAATATGAAGGAAGTATAAATGAGTTCAGCGCAAGTGAGACAAAGAGGCTATTCAGTGGCCTGGCTGTGAAAGATTAAAAATTCGGCGTTGATCAATCCCTGAGGGATGCGCCGTGCATTCGACTTCATTAAGTATCGTTGGAGGTGATTGAATGCATATCTGACCTTTACAATGACTCGCGGTGGCTACCGATGTATAGAGCCAGTGCTGCTAACCTCCCAGACAAGTGTGGTACGAATCTGCCAACCCCAGAGAGATGGAGGACTTGGTGGGCGTGGAACACGGGAATCGATCCCTCGTGTATTGCAGGACGCCTCCAACCACTGCGCTACACGAGCACATCTTGTTGTCGTTGATCAGAACCTTTATTCCAAACCTGAAGATCAACTAACTGGTGGTACCAAACAAGTGAAAGTGTTGTCGGAAAGTCGCTTTGTGACCTTACCACTAATATCCATGCTTAGTTTAACGAAGTAGAGAAAATATTGGTAGAAAGAAACCGAGATGAAACCTATTGTATAGAAAGATTTGCCGTTGTTTTGAAACATTTAACGAAATCCTGCAAGACTACTAGTTCAATCCAAAAAGAAACGAGCAAAGAACAGAAGCTGGCAGTCGCTGGACCATGTGAACAAACCTGGGCCGATAAGTGTTCCGGTTGCGATTCCGCCACTTATGCAGGCGATGGCTCGTGAACGATCCGACTTCGTCGACGACGTCGATGAATACGCCCTTAGCAAGGACATATTTCCTAAAGGAAAATGAAATTTCACACAGAACTTGCGCACACTACTCGGCTTCCATATGTGTTGTCATTAATTTTATTGTTAATCATGATAACAAATGTTAAATCATTGTTTTCTTGATGTGCAGGTACAAGGTTGCTCTACACTATTTATTCGTAATAGCTGATGTTTCGGCCGCTTCGCTTTCTTGATTGCTGTTTTCTTCTTTGTAGAATATCATGTTTTTGAAAAATGCCGAGGTTGGTAGAAAATCGGTCCTGGGATTTGCTATATGAAGTGCTAGCAAAATATTTACGACTTATCACAGAAGTGCTGCCACTGGGAAAAAAGATTGCAAGTTTGGCTACCACTGCACATCTTTCTCCGCCTCGTTGCTATGTAAGCAGGAAAAGATGTTCGCTCACCTGAAAAAGTTACAAGTCGAAAGTATTCTGTGTTCAATATTTGTAGGATCACCTTTGGGCCATAATAATAGCGAGGAGTGGCTTGTGATCATGCGTGGTGACCTCTGGCCATCTCAGAATGATTTTCACACCTGACCCAAGGACATTGATTACCTATTTCAGACTGTGTGCAGCTAGTCTCCCACCAAATAACTGGAGGGCTTGTAGAGAACAGAACGTCTCTGGAGAACGTGAAACAGCTGAAACGTCAGCTTTTGTGAGTAAAGAGTGTAAATACAACAACCTTGTGTCTGACCATCAGGAAAACAGTGAGTTACTGATCGGTACCGATGCTAATAAGAAGACGGTTTCGGGATTTGCCACATAAATATTAATTATTATTATTGTTATCATTACCATTTTTAATCATTATTATCAAAACAATTATTATCAGTGGTTATCATTGCTACTAGCATTATTATTCTTGTAGTCCCGTTATAGCAGAGGTACACCAAAATGCTATGGAGTATCTACTCAACCACCATTGAACAACATTCACAAAGAAGAGGAAATCCTGTAGCCTCATGCAGCATTCGAATCCACACGCAACGCGAAGAACTTTGGTGATGATGAATGCAACACAATGAACCGAAGGAAAGAAGCGCTTCACTCGAGACGAAAATAAAAATATACGTAGTTACAGAAGAATTCAGTATTCCTTCATTACTCGCATATTGAAGAAAGCGAGTGTGACTTTGATTACTTAATAACATCTCAAAACTAAACAAATCCTAGCCAAAAATAACAGTTATGTATATTTAACAATGCGATAATACGTAGTAAGTTTAAATAACCTAGACGCGTGAAATGCAGTGGGGGCTTGTGTAGCTCAGGGGGAAGAGGCGCTCTGCAGTACATATGGGATCGATACCGCCTCCTAGGCTCCCCAAGCCCTCCATCCCAAGTGGTCGGCGAATTGGCACCAGACGTGTATGTGAGGAGAGGAATACTGACTCGATAAATCTGTGAGCCACCGCGAGTCACTGTAAAGCGCAGATATGCATTCAGTCACCCCTAACGATGCTTAATAAAGTCCAATGCATGGCGCAGATCAATGCCGAGAGCTTTATCCTTTATCCATTATTCTCTAAGCATAAATATAAATGCATATGTGTAAACATCTAGATAGAAAAAAGCTTTCAGCGTTGATCAATCTCTGAAAAATATGTCATGCATTCGACTTCATCAAGCATCGCTAAAAGTGCTTAATGGAAATCTGTCCATGACAACGAATTGCAGTGGCCTACCAATGTACCAAATCAGTACTAGTATCCACCTAGCTAGCCAGACAAGTCCGATAACAATTTGCTCACTCCAGAGGTATGAAGAGATTGGTGAGCCCGAGGCTTGAGATCGAATCGACCATGCATATCATGTAACCACTGTGGTAAACACACTCATAGCATGTAGATACAGCGAAAGATATGGCTCTAATCGTTTTGAATATATTAAACACTAAACCAAATAAAGGATTGGTTAACTGAAATAAACGTGCATATAATTATCCATACCACTTTTTCTGATTCACCTGTACCACAACCAGCAACAAAACGAGCGAAGGCCATCGCTATCACCACATGCGATTGTGAGAAGAACTGTAGCGATAAATATAGCACATTACCGACCATCATAAGAACAAATCCAGCGAGAAGAGGTAATCGGATCTAAGAACGGAGTGGATTTTGTTTTCTCTTCCCTATATTATGTTGTTGGTTAACGAATAATTAGAAAGAACATGGATTCAAGAATTACTACACTGAATGTGTCGTTTTCTTGTTCAGCAATCGCGAGGTTTTTAAACATCATACATTTACTTCCATAAAAACACAATACAATACAACGCTAGCTGACGTTTCGGCAGTATCGCCTTCTTCAGAGCCTGGAAGGGTATACTGATATACAATCTACTAGGCCAAACGCTTCAATAACACTTACACAAAGACGAAAGACTCTTTGGTAATTACACGATCAACAACTTCTCGAAAAACCCACCGCTTTTTCGTGACTTCCAATGAGGAAGTTTAGAACAGCTGATTATAGTCGCATGTGGTTGACGACTGCACCATCCCATATCAAAAATCGATGCGAACGTACGGGATCATTCGAAAACCTTTTGGGTAATTCACACGTCTCAGCTTCAAGAAACAACCACAAACGAATTCCTTACGTTTCTGATAATAGTCAAAATGGGGTTGATAATGCACCAAGAAAATCTAGGGTCACCGTGATTGGGGGCATAACAATACCTGAGAATGCGCGCTCGCTATTAGAATTGGGCCCAAGTTTTGCACCATCACAGCTCATTTCTAAAACGACCCTGCGTAGGATAGCATGCAACCTTTATGAGCTTCGAGATCGACTCCGCTATCAGACCAAGCAAGAAACATCAAANCTTTTGGGTAATTCACACGTCTCAGCTTCAAGAAACAACCACAAACGAATTCCTTACGTTTCTGATAATAGTCAAAATGGGGTTGATAATGCACCAAGAAAATCTAGGGTCACCGTGATTGGGGGCATAACAATACCTGAGAATGCGCGCTCGCTATTAGAATTGGGCCCAAGTTTTGCACCATCACAGCTCATTTCTAAAACGACCCTGCGTAGGATAGCATGCAACCTTTATGAGCTTCGAGATCGACTCCGCTATCAGACCAAGCAAGAAACATCAAATAGAGATAAAAATCAAGAAGAGACGACACTACCACCATTTCCTTTCCCAAAAGTGTTCTTTAGACAGCAGGATGCTAACGATGGAGTTGACATAAAATTTCGCGTGTTTTCGGACGGCGTTCTCAAGACCCTTGATCACTACCGCGACAGAAAGTTTATCTCTAACCTTACAGCCGCACA